TATATATATATATATATATATATATATATATATATATATATACTATATATATATATATATATATATATATATATATATATATATATATATATATATATATATATATATATACATATATATATATATATATATATATATATATATATATATATATATATATATATATATATATATTCATACAGTCGACGTAACCATGATGTAAATATGGGTGAGATTGATAATGTTTGATCATCTGAACAAAAATCATGTTTGTGTTAACTGTGGTTTGATATTTTAATAATCATGGAAAATTTTTTAAGTTATATAATTTTGGAATAACAATGTTTGGTCGCATACATTGGATCAACGTTGGATTTAGTTCGTAAAAACAATCAACTTTTTGCGATGTATTTACATACGTTGGATCAACGTTGATTTATATATAATGAGTCAACGTCGAAATATATACATTGGATCAACGTTGGCTTTAAATCGTAAAAACAATCAACTTTTTGAGATGTTTTTACATATATTAGAAAAACGTTGATTTATATACATTGAATCAATGTCAAAATATATACATTGGATCAACATTGTATTAAGGGTTTAGATCGTAAAAACAATTAACTTTTTGCGATGTTTTTTGCATACATCGGACCACTGTAAATTTGCCAGATGTTTTTAGTTCCGTCGGTAATAATTTTATCATTAACCAAATGACAATGGATCAAGGTTGGTTTTGCATTGGAAAAAAGAGCCAACGTTTGCAATGGTTTTACATACGTTGGCCCAATGTAAGTGTGCTAGTTGGGTAAGTATTGGAAAACGTTTTCCACCTATTAAAGCTATTTAAAAGTGGATTGCTTTAGGACTCTTAGAGCTGCAACTATATTAAATATGACTATAAAAGCTGCAACTATGTTAAAAAAGAAAAGCTCCCTCTTAATAAAAGGAAACAATTCCTTTTTAGCAGAATTTTAGATGCATGGAAATCACTTTCAATTGAAAATGTAACAGCAAAAACAGCTTTCAATTAATGGCTGAGTAGCAATCAAACTAGCTGCTGTAATACTATAACAAATAGAGTGCAAAGCAATACATTTAATGGGTCTGTCTAACACAGCGTAAACTACTACTATTTCTATTAATATGTACTTAATTAACACGTTCATATTAAAATTTTGAATATGTTAGTTAGTTTAAACTTTAAATATAGGTCAATGAAAGCAAGTCATGTTGCATAATTTTTTGGATGATCATTAACCCAAAATAATCTTATATATATTTGTTACTAATATCTAAGCCGTAAATAGACTAAAAAATAACTCTAGAATAGTTAGAGTGTTTTAAGAATAGGTGTTGTGGCATATTATCAATATATTCTACAACACACTCGTATTAAAAATAAGTCATCAAAAACAAATATTTTACTCGTTAATTTTAATACTTTAAATGCAATTTAGTTTTTAATTGGAGCTAACGATAAAACAAGTTTAAAGTTTCATTTGATTGGTCTTACCAATTTTTTGTTCTTTTTTGCATAATTTTCAGTCATCTTGAAAATAGTTATCAAATCTTGTAAGAAGTCTTCAGGCAAAGTGAATGTAAGCAACATGGATTTCACATCATAGCATGACAAACTCTTGATATCATAATGATATCATAATGCGAGTTCATAAATCAAAACTTGTTATTTTGGGCATAAAAAGAGAAAAACTAACTTTTACTGAGTTTTATAACTAATACATGAAATTCTGCTACAAATTAAGTTTATTCCTAAATGTTATGATATCACTATATCTTTATTTGATATCATAGCTTGAAAAGGTTTTGATATCATTCTGATATCACATTCATATTGCGTCTTGACTGGTTATATTCATCGATAAATTTTAAGTTTCATAGTATTATGTCTCAAAAGTTATGACCCTCCTCAACTTGAGGGGGTTACAAAATCTTAAACACCAAAAATATTTAGATCCGTCACTGTTCCTCCCTACTACTGAACTAATATACTACTGAACTAAACTAATAATCGTTTTTTGCGGACTTGTTAAAGTGGGGTGGAATAACTGAAGATTCGGTGACAAACTTAGAAAAAAGGATAAAAGAAAAGTAAAGCTTTCAATATTGTATATTTAAACAAAAAGTTTAATCTTGTAGATTTTCTTGTCAAAAAGTAAGAAAATAGTATTAACATAGATGCAAATAATATGTATAATCATCATATCAAAGAAACTTGTAAACTCTTTATTATTTCTGATATAAATACAGAATGCAGCGTTGTTGACTTTAATACTGAAAATAGCCATGATTTTATTTGATTTTTTGTTATCAGTTAGTACTTTATTATATGAACATGAAAAATATAATTTTATTGCTTTAATAAATCTCAATTTTTCTACTTTTATGACTTTCTTGGACTAGAAAATTATCAACTTTCATATTTCTGCTCAAGGAGTATGAGGGTTAAAACAAATTCTTAATAGTTATCTGAAAAAAGCATAAGCATGTTTCAAATTTTATTTCAGTGTAGCATTAGTGATGTGGCTTCATTTCATAAGTATGTAATTATGTAGTTTATTAACTTTCAAGATAAGGTTTTCTTGTCTATAGAAAAACTCGCTTTTACAGAAACCAACAACCATTTATACTGCACTATTTAAGTGTGTGAAAGTTTACAAAAGAAGAGGCCGTGCAATCAAAAAGAATTGTAAAAAGCAAGAGTTTATTTTGAACAAATCAATGAACATATTTTTTTAGATTTACAATTTAATCAAAAGTTCGAATTATTTGATGGAGTATTGCTTTATTTGTTGGCACTTGCATCTTAATTCTTAATTTAAGATTTCCTAAAAATTATAGATTAAAACTTATTCTTAAACACTTTTGTAAAAGGGTTGTCCATTAACTACGTCAATAAAAAAAGGAGGGAGGGAGGGGGGGTCTGAACTTTTTCAACAATTGTTGACACGGGGGATTGGGAGGTCAATTAAAGTTGACGTCAACAATTTCTTTTATTTTGAGTTTCATTGCTTAATTAACGGAAAATTAGGCTGAGCTTGTAACGTAGTTTCTTTGTATAAGGGGAGAGGTATTTTAAAGTTGACGTTATTTTATAGGGGGGTCTCTGGATATTTGATAAATTGTTGACAAGGGGGAGAGGGGAGGTAAAATTTTCAAAAAATTTGTTGACGTAATAAATGGACAGCCATAAATATATACTTATTTTATAGTTACAATTCTTAAAAGAAATTTATAAACTTATTATCAAAATATATTTTTAATACTTTGCTTTTAAAATATCATTTTAAAAGTCAATCTTTAGAGAACTAGTTAATATTTTTCTGACCTTGTCAAATTCTTTTTGTTTACTACTGACAAAAAAATGTTGGTAAAATCCATGTACATATATTTTACCTGACAACATTTTTTTTTCAACTACAACTTTTTTAAGCATTTTATATAATGTTTTATAGTAGAAGTTTTTGACCATTTTTTATCTTTAATATCATACTACATGTAGTAAGATATGGTGACCAGTATTACCATCGAGACATTTTGAACAGACGCTTTTTATTTATGCTTTAACTGTAAAATTACAGAGCAAAATGAAAATGCATATATAGCATTAAAAAAGAAATTTAAATCATAAATCTCATATACAAATCTTAAAAAAAGTTTTTCATCTCCTAAGAATTATACGTTCAGGGTATGCAAATATTATTGTTATAATCCTTTTTTATCTCGTTTGAAATAATGATATCTCGTTTGAAATGATGATATCTTGTTTGAAATGATGATATCTCGTTTGTAAAAATGATACGTCGCATCTCTAACCAATTAGTTATCAGCAAATAAGTAAACTATTCGTTTTTGTTATCCGGAAAAACTAAAAGTTAAGAAAAATATCCGAAATTCCGGAAATATCCGGAAAAAAATAATCCCTGATGTCAAAAGTTAGTAAAATGTAATGTTTTTTTCATTTCTATTATTAAGGAAAAAATTTATTTATTTTAATTTACAAATTGATTAAAAAAAAAAATCCAATCGGACACATTGATTTCCATACAGTATAATTCAAGAGAGTTCTCATTTGTTTGTTGGCTTTTATTACATATTATAATCTTTATACAAACATATAGAAAGATATGAGGAAAAGTTTACAATTAAAGATTTCGTGAGATTAAAATAAAAATAAAGAAACTCAAAATAGACTTTAAGGTCTTGTCACGAGAATTGCTAGAGTTAAATGCGTTCTTAAAATAGCTGATAAAATTTTTTTAACAATATAGTTTCTTGTTTCTAAAAATAGCATTTGAATTCTTCATTAAATTATTTTGAAGTAAGGTATCCACGCAAGATGCGGTATTATATAATAATATTTTTCAGATGTAATTACATATGAAAAAAATCCTCTTAATATAACTGAAATGATGTAACTGCATATGTAGAATCCACAGATGTAGCTATTCTTAATATAATTGAAAAATCTCCTGATGTAGTTGCACAGGATTAATACTCACTTAGGTAATTGAAAAGATATAAGTCTGTAAAATTCACATACTTTTTTGTACTTGATGTTATACATTATATGAATAAAAATATCATATATGCAAGATTTAAAAATATCATATCTGCAAGATTTAAAAATATCATATATGCAAGATTTAAAAAAACATCAACGAAATTTCAGATGTTGTTGAACAGATGTAATACCTTATTGTATTTACAGATTGTTTGACAGATGACAATTGTCGGAGAGATGTTATTAGACATCGCATGTTGTTACCCTGACCTAATTCTTATGTCAAAAAAGCTTAGTCAATTTAATATATAAATAAAATACCGAACACTTTATTAATAAAATTGTTCATTTAAATAGTTAGTTTTTATTGAATTAAAATTAATGATTGTAAACTAGATATAAAAAAAACAACTATTTTCATCTGTGTTATAACGCAAAACCGCAAACTTTATGTTTTACAACAACTTCGTGTTTACAAAAGATTTTTTTGATGAAAGAAGTACGACTTTTAACAATTTATTATAAGAAAGTCACTACACAATCTACTTTGAAGTAAATCAACTTCAAATATTTATAGGTAAAATAATTAATACAGAAAACATTTTAATACTAAAAAACAGTGCATGCTTGTTTTTTTGTGGTAATACATTCAGTTTCAAACAAACAAAAAAATAAAATTTAATGCAGGTAAAATTACCATTTTAAAATAGTGAAAACATTTGATAGTTTGTACAAGATTTACAAAGATTTTTTAGAGAATTAAAAAGCGACGCGGTGGTTAATGTTCAAACATATTTAACTATATATGATTTTATAAAAATTATCCCTACAATCAAACTAAATAAGAAATTTGTGAAAATATACAACAAAAAAAAAATCTAATTGTTACATACGAAAATATTTCTAGAGTAACAAATTTAAGTTTCCTCTCATTTAATTTTAATAAACTTCAAATATAAAAATGCATTAATTAGTTCACTTTCATTTAAACCTCTCTTTTTACAAGCATGTGTTTTAATACATTAATACACAACTTCTTTATGTGATGTTCTTTTGTTGATTACATCTTTAAACAAATATCTTCCATTATGCTTTATCAACACTTAATTCTCCGCTAAAATCGTTACCTCCTAATATTAGGTTATCATCAACAACCAAATTAGAAAGGTCTTGCTTAACAATACAATTTTTCAAACTTTTAAAAGACTGACATTCGTTTGTTTGATTATTCAGATGCTGATTAGGTTGGATAATATGTATAGATTGCACAAACTGATTTCCGCTATCCATTTGCACAATATCTACTTGTAACATTTGATTGTCTTCAGGATGCAGGTTTAACTGATCATCTTCCTGCTGCATTTCGGTTTCATTGTTGGAACAGGTAGGATGAGGTGGTGTATGATCTACCATGCAATTATTTCTAATATTTATTGTACTAGCATTATTTCTTGTATTTATAATGTCAGAAGAAATGTTCTCTAAAGAATTGTTTTTAATTTTGTCTTCCGTTTTTATTTGCGGTAAAGTAACATTATTCATTCTTGTGTTATTAGGAAGAACAAAATGAACCGGTTCAGCGATTGGTTGACTATCTAAAGATATTACACCGTCAGTTATACGATAATCAACAGATGGATCCACTAATTCATATACTGCTTGTTCTGGGTGTTGTGAAGCTATATGAGAAAGCAGAGAGCCTTTCCTCATAAAATCTTCGTCACAAATAACACATTTATAGGGTTTTTTTTCAGAATGTAGAAACTCATGGTTAGTTAATTCAGCCTTATCTAAAAACGATTTGTTACAAAACTCGCATTTGTAAGATTTTTCTGTATGAGACAAAATGTGTTGTAATAAAACATCATTATCAAAAAAACGTTTTTCGCAAAATTGACACTTATTACCTTGGCCTCCACCAATGGTGTCACATATAGCAATATGAACTTCATATTCGTGTTGAAACTCAAACAATGTGTTACAAGTGTCACACTTCCATTTTAAAGTTTTATCTGATCTGTGTAATAACATATGGTTTTTTAATGTTGAACGCTGTCGGAAATCTTTAGAGCACACGTCACATTTATACAGTTTTTCCGCAGTATGTATGTACATGTGTTGACGCAAATGCTCATTTCGCGTAAACATTTTATTGCAGTTAGTGCAAACAAATCTCTTTATACCTGTGTGTGTAATTATATGTCTGCGCAAAGTTGATTTATCGCTAAATGCACGATCACAGTGATCACATTTGTAAGGTTTTTCATCCATATGAATTATCATATGGCGTTTTAGCGTTGAGCGTTCAACAAAATATTTTAAGCATGTGTTACATTGGAAAGACTTTTCATTTTGATGATGTGTACGTTTATGATGTCGCAATGACTGCTGAGAACTGTAACTCCTTAGACATATACCACAAGAATGTTTATCAATAGTTGTAGACTTTTCACTAAAGGAATCTTCTGCAGAAGATGCTTCGTGTTGAATACCCGACGTTTCACTTTCAGAAAAAATTACCGCTATAATAAAATTATATTAAGGTACAAATATAATTAGAAAGACATGAATAAAATTATATATAGGTAAAATAATATTTAGAAATACATGAATAAAATTATATGAGTGGGTCAGAAGCCAAGGGGTACAAGTGACAATTTTACCAAAATTAAGTTAAGAATTTGATAGAAGAAGCAAACAAAATTGTTGGTGGCCAAGGGATACAAGTGAATCTCTGCCCTGTGCTGCTTTCTACTGGAAAACCATAACAACAGCTGAGTATATTTAACAAAAATACTTTAACTTTAAACAGCTGTATCTCAAAACTATGAAAATGTCACTTGTACCCCTTGGCTTCTGACCCACTCATATGTAAAAATATAATTAGAAAAACATGACTAAAATGAAAAATTTCTTAAAAAATAGTAAGGACCGGCGAAGTCGACTTTTTAAGACTCGAATTTAAATGAAAGCCGAATTTTACTGAAAGACGAATTTAAGCCGTATATGTAGTCCGAATTTAACTAAAAGACGATTTTGAACTTCTAAACCAAATTTAACTGAAAGCCGAATTTGGAATTTTTAAAACATATTTTAATAAAATAGAAATTTTTCAAGAACTTTTTTAAGTTTTTTTTTTAAGTTTTTTTAAGTAAATTTTTATCTTTTTAAATGCGCTGAGAAGACCTAACGGAAAAGTATTAAACTAGTAAGTTCAAATCTCCTTCCAAACCAATAGCGCGAAATATTTACAGAAGTCATGCTTTTAAATTTTTTAGTAGAGGAAGCTACTTCTTATAATGGTTACAACCCTCTCTTTACTTTTTAACTCCGAAACACTTTTCGAAGTTAAAAAGTTGAAAGAGGGTTGTAGCCAATAGAAACAGGCTGATATACATAAAACAAATAATATCTTTTATAATTCTTTTTCTTTACAAATTTAAGAAAATAGCTTTTGAATTTAACTGAAAGTTACATGAAATTTTAAAATTGTTACCGAATTTAACTGAAAGCCGAATGTCTATTTCAACTTCGACACCAAAGTCGAAGCCGAAGTCAACTTCGCCTTTCAGTAAACTTCATAATCCGAATTTTAACGAATATTCGCCGGTCCTTAAAAAATAGATAAAAATTATCAAAGCTCTTAGTTTTTATTTATCTTTTTTAGATTTTTTTTAAACCTTATTTAGTAAGGAGAATGCTAAGTAAATTTTAAACAACATTGTTTTTTGAATCACGCAAGTAACTACAATATATATTTATATAGAATTAAATATCATCAAAATTTTACACAACTGCAATCATGCATTCAAGAAAAATTACTATCCTATTACTATTTATTTCTGACTCAAATTATATATTTTTTACGTCACACTAAGATAATTTATACTCCCCCTCCCTTTCTTTAAAATCATGATTTAAAAATAGCAAGAACTAAACAAAACAACAAAAAAAAAGAACAATGAAAAACAATGGCTGGAGCAGGCTATAATTAGGGTGTCTAATAGTGAACTTATAGATAATGGTCAAAAAGTTAATTTATATTCAAAGAGTCTTTCATATTAAGCCACAAAATGGTACCCTAAATACTTACCCTAAATACTAACTCAGATTACCACCATTAAGATCACAAAATAAATGCTGAACATTACTTCTTTGCTACATCCCATGTTATGGAATAAGAGGAATTTTAAAAATAGACGAAACTAAAGCAAGTCTACCAACAGCAACTAAAGCAAGTCTACCAACAGCAACTAAAGCAAGTCTACCAACAGCAACTAAAGCAAGTCTACCAACAGCAACTAAAGCAAGTCTACCAACAGCAACTAAAAATCAAGTCTACCAACAGCAACTAAAAATCAGATTCGTACACTACACTAACTGTTAACAAAACATTTAAGTGTTAACATCTTTAATAACATAGTGTTAATAATATAGCTGAAAAAACATTTAAGTGCTAACATATTTGATATTTTAATTGATGATACCAATAACCATGAAACTTATTTTAATCTCCAGAAACAATATAAAAATTGGTAAATGTTAAAAGGGCGGAAGTCCAATAATGAAAATTTTTGGAAAACTAAAATAAACTGCATTTTCCAATGTAGTAAATTTATATTAATGGTTCAGCAATATTTTTTTGAAGGTGAAAAACATTCTCTTCAAAAAAAAAAAATTATTAAACCATTAAAAAAATTTACTATGGGGACAATGCAGTTTTTTTTAGTTACATGAAAGTTTGCATAATTGGACTTCCGCCCTTTTAACATTCACCGATTCATAAAGAGATGGCAAAAAAAATGAAGTTCATACATTGAAAAAAACTAAATTTGAAATGGATGCATCATCAAGTCAGTTTTGGGCTCCATTTGACAAATAATATGTGAAATAAGTGCTCCATCTATTAAGTATTGAAGTGGTTATGACTGACTTAAAAACTTATTAAAAGAATTTAAAAGTTAAAATACGCTTATAAATAATGAAAATAATAGCTGCAATTTTTTTATATATAAATATAAATTAATAGCATCAAATAAAATCAAAAGAGAGATCCTTTACCGTGATTAAAACATCATTACCCTATATTAAGATAGAAACTAATCTTATATTAGATCAGAGAAAGCTTTTTAGACATTACAAAGGCTAGAAAGTGATGATAAAAAGCCATAGTGAGGGTTATTTTAGACATTACAAAGGCTAGAAAGTGATGATAAAAAGTCATAGTGAGGGTTATTTTAGACATTACAAAGGCTAGAAAGTGATGATAAAAAGTCATAGTGAGGGTTATTTTAGACATTACAAAGGCTAGAAAGTGATGATAAAAAGCCATAGTGAGGGTTATTTTAGACATTACAAAGGCTAGAAAGTGATGATAAAAAGCCATAGTGAGGGTTATTTTAGACATTACAAAGGCTAGAAAGTGATGATAAAAAGCCATAGTGAGGGTTATTTTAGACATAACAAAGGCTAGAAAGTGATGATAAAAAGTCATGGTGAAGGTTATTTTAAATACTAATCTTCTAAGTGGTAGTATCATAATAAATATATCAGTCCTAAAAAACAGGTTAACACCAGAAGAGGCATTCGATTGTAAAAAAAAACACTCTTTCATGATGCCAAATTAATATATAAAATGCGATTATGAGAATTCTGTCAGAGCTAAACAAGTGTGAAACCATGAAGGTTAAGCATATATATAGAAGTCTTTTTTGTAATGGCTAAACAATTGTTATTTATTACATAAAGTATTTATATATAGTGTAACCATTAATATATATACAACTTTTTTTCTAAAATAGTGAAGCCAATTTAAAGTTGATTGATATACAAATTTAGATTTAAATTACATAAATGTTTTTTCATTAATTTTTAATTTTTTTAAAGTAATTTTATAGACAATATAATGACACTATATGAATGCAAGTTTTTCCAGGAGATGTGGGCAGTCATTTATCCACCCATGAGATTTTTAATTAAACAACTTTAAGTCGACATTAAAGACTGATTTTCCTATATTTTATTTAAAAAAGGAGTTTTTTTTAAAGAGGGAAGTGAAAATATAAATTGCTATCTGTTTGTAACATATAAATGCATAATTTTAATGTAACAAGTATATATTGTCCCTTTATGAATACCTCTATGTAATGCATGCATATAGATTTATATACACTCATATGTTGGTTTGTTCATGCATGCATATATACATATCTTTCTACAACACTTTTTCAATTGTTTAATTATATTTGTTTGTATATTAGTATACGCTTGCTTAGCTTATTTAAATAAGGTATTTACTTCAAACACAAAATGACTGTGGTTCGAATCCCACATTATCTGATTTTTCAATATTTTTTTAACATCCAACTGTTTATATATTTGCTTTTTAACCATTTATCTTTTCTTTTTTGAATATAAAGAATTGTTCTGTTGTATGTTTTTAAATGATACACATTTGCCAATCCCATAATTTTTTTTTGACAACCAATTTTTATCCGAAGTGGCTAATGAGTGGCGTAGAGGTCATATTTAAATGAAAATTTTTTATTTATTTATTTTATAGAAGTATTCGCGCCAATTGTTCAGTTAAGCTTTTTATGATTTTTTTTAGTGCAATTTCCAAGCCTTGTCATGAATAGATTATGATGTTAATTCCAGTTAACTTGTTCAACAATATTTTCTTTATGTAATCCTATACCAAAAAAAAAAACACTGTTCTTATTAATTTAAGAAATATGTTGTGCCTATCTTTCACTGATTACGATAGATAAATTAACACTAAGGCTACTGTAAAATGATTTTTTATTGATCTTTAGGCAATTTTCCAGTCATACAACAAACTTTTTGATTTTTGCCTCATTATGTTATCAAATGTTTTTTTTTTTTGAAAATACTGTTACTGGAGCCTTGGATCAAACAAATCCAAATTTAAAATGATTTCCTTGAAAGATTAGAGGAAAGGACTTTGGATCTTTTGTTGTAAACTAAACTAGATCAAAATGTATCAATGTGATTCGAAAAAGTATATATATATACATTTTCTCTGTAGATAAAATTTTAGAGCTTTTTTTGTTTCCAGCCTCCAATAATTGCAACTTTTTAAAAAGCATCATTATTTGACATAAGTATAAACATACAAATGTTTGGATTTTGCTCCATATTAGCTACATCAAACACCAAAAAATGCTAGATTCAAAACTGCCACAGATCTCTTGTTTGTGAAGCAAATTTGCATCAGAATTTGGCTTTAAAATGCTGCAAATGTGCAATAAATATTTATACAGATATAAAATTTCATCTAAAGACAAAAATCTCAAGAAAATATGCTGAAATATAATTTTTTTAATGTACTTTTTCGGTTGAGAGTTTGCAGTTAAATATTAAATTAAAATTCAATTTATTAGAACCAATCAATAACGAGAAAGTGAGAAAGCAGTTGTCATAGCTAGCTCCTTGTATCCACTCTTCTTCTTTTTCTAATGGTTTATTACAAGAACTCTTTATTTGAAGTAGCTTTTGAAGC